GAATTCGACCTCGGATTTTAGCGTTTTAAGGTTCGTACTCGACTTCGAATTTATAGTAGAATATTTTACCAAGGTTCGAACTCGACCTTGGATAAGCGCGTTAAGCATGGAGCATTTTGTGGTAAAATGATGAAGATAAAAGAATGTGAATAGGAGAGAATGAGTTACTTTATTGATGAAAATATGTGCCTCGTTAAAAACCATCTCAGCCAAAACCCATTTTTCTATTTTTTGGGACAAAAGACTGAGGCGGGAAAAGAGTGCACAGCTCATTCGTACAAAGTTTAACTGAAATAGAACTTGAGATGCGTAGCATTCCAAGTTCGAGGTATAGGTTTCCCTGACATCATGCACCGCGTGCCCGGGGTTACTTATTTGCAACACTAATCTGGGCTAGGAGCCCGGGTACGAAGTACGGTTAGTACAACAGATAAATAAATCATACTTAAGATATGTATTTTCAACAAAGGTTAGATTTAGCATTACTAAATTATAGATATAAAAACTTGCAGAAAATAATTATAATATATTTTTATAATTTTAAAAATGATATGTAAAATTTTTAAAACCATAAATATATGAATAAATATTATTCTCACTATCTAAAATTTTTAGTGTAGTAAAGTTATAAATACTTTAAATATTAATTGTCATGATTAATTTTGAGTGAGATAAATATTTTTAAAATTATAATTATATATTATAAAGTTATAAATATTTTTCTTAATTAAATAAAGATAATCATTTGTAAATGGATTATAGGATCTTAACATCTTCTCTACACTTATGTTTAACTCCACAACCTCTAAAATCTATTTTTCGTGGATCATTTTCTTTTTAATTCTTTTTTCATAAATTATCTTAGATAAATCTTAATGACGAGTCTTTTAATTTTTATTTATTTTTTGGTCCCGTCGACTAGATAGCAATAACGAAGCCAATACTCAAGGTCAAGGATATATCAGCAAGAAAAGCTTGAATTTCTATCATGGATATCCAACAGTCAAGCATCAAGCATGGAAAGTCGTATATAAAACAAAGGATATGTGCTTCTATTAATTCTAGCCTCTTTTTGGGCTTGCTGCATGATTCGTAGCATTTGACATAATCTTTGACGTATGACAAATGTTTCACTATTTTTATATAAGAGATGTCGCGTCTCTCTTCATTTATTTTATTTTGTAGAAAACTAATACTAATAGTTCAACACTATACTCCCTCCCTTTTTTTCAATTTCACATTTAAGATTTATGCACAATAATTAAAAAATAATAATTAATATTTTAATTTTTTAAAATATTTATTATTTATTTTCTTATTATATCATTTAGGTAATTAAAAAAAAATAAGTACATTAGAAATGAATAAACACATTATTTAATAAATACATATTAAGATAAAAATAAATTAATTAATTAATTATTCATTGATTTTAAAAAAGTGATAATAAAAAAAATAGTATTAGAATGACTATGAAAAAAAACCAGAGAAAATACTAAATAATAATTAATACTTGGATTTATAAATAGAAAGGGAGAGCAAATATGAGGTCAAGCATACTTTGGAAGTATTTGGAAGGATTTATAAAGTTTATTTGAATTTATAAAAGTATTTTATAACTTTTATAAACATTTATTTAATAATTTTTTGGTGAAACTTATTAAAAAAAATTTTTTTTAACATATTCCTATAAATTCTATGGTCAGATTTATGATATAAAACTAATTAACTAAGTATCTAATTAAATTATCTTTTGGAATGCGTCCAGTGATAGTGATATTAGGAACATGTTTAGATAATTTTTACTTGAAATACTCCTTAAAAAAAATAGAAAGAAAAATTGATATAAATTTATAATATAAAACTAGTTGATGCATAAGTAAAAATAAAAATAAAAATTAGAGAAGTTAATATGAGAGAGGTTCAACAAAATAGTTTATGAAGAAGTTTATTTTATTTTTTCTTATTTTTTTCTCTTAGAAGTATTTTATATAGATTTTTCTAGTAAGTGTACCAAGTTTGCTATAGCATTAATGGAAGTACAAGTTGTTGATCATAGAAACTTGAAGGATATATATTTTTTAATTTTTCTTATTCTAGCTAAAACTTGCAAAAGAAAGATGCACAACAAATATAAACATATTATTTTGCATTTTCAATATTGAATTTGTAAAGAAAATATCCATAGAAAGCAAGTGTAAATTTGAAGGATAACAGTGAGAAAAATTATTGAAATTGTATTTTATCTATCTCACTCTTATACTTCCCTAAGTTTATCTATATTATTTCTATCACTCAGTGTCATTAAATTCTTAAAGATCATTCTAAATCAATTTATTGTCTTTAAAATTTTTAGGGATTCCAATTTAATAAATGATTCATCGCCTTATCAAATCAAAATCCTTGCATTATGTTTAAAAATTTGTTCAACTAATGAATTTAAATCTATTTCTAGTCTTTAAAATCATTAGGTGATTTAAGATTTAGAAAATGTTTTCCGACCAAAATTTAAATCAAAAATCAAAAGATGATTGGTCAATTCACCTTAAGCACTAAAAACATAATTAAATCGTTAATATTGAGTAATATAATATCATATATATATATATATATAAATCAAAGAATGACATAAGAAAATATGATATTATATTAATCAAAAGATGATTTGGTCAATTCACCCTTAACTTTACTTCTCGCCTTGTTTTTTATTCTAACTGATTCCTTGATTTTCTCTCTCTTACTCCCTTAAATATGCTCAGAAAATAAAACAAAGTAAGCATGAAAGAGACAAATCCACTTAGCCATTTTCAAACAATTGAACGAATTTTTGAATTCTTTAGAGTAAAGAAAACTTCATTAGTTGAGTCAATTCCAATACGTTAAGTCTTTGAGGATCAAAACTTTCATCCCTCTCTCAACCTAATTCGTTCAACCTTTTCAAACAAATTGAACAGATTTGGCTTTGCAACCACTTTGCTCTCTACGTGTGATCCACCCAACCCTTTCCAAATAATTGAGTGAATTTGAGAAATCTTTAGATCTTGTAACTTTATCAAATTTACATGAAAAATAAGGGTTTATCAATTAAAAATTCATCAATTCTTCATAAACTATCCTATTTATATATCCTTTTGATTCTTATAATATTTTAAGAGTTAAAATACATATTTCTTTTAAGCAGAATTAGATAAGTGTCAAAATAATCATAATCTGTAAATAAAATAAATACTTATCATATTTTTAGAGAAATTTTATCTTAACAAAATCTAAACAATCATATTTTAACTATACTTATCTTAAGTATATATTAATATTCCACTTAGAATGGGGCTCTTAATCACATTTTTATTTACTTAACTCTCTAAGTCAACCCCTATTGTATTACCTAATTAGAAAACAGTTAGAATAAATTACTGCAAGATAATTGCCTCGTTTTTTCTCCGTTAATTCATCAATGGAATTCACCCCTTTTATCTTTGCATGCATTTGAATTCAATGATCTAAAACAAAATGTCCCTAGTTATGTGTTCATGTGACTATCCAATCCGAAATATTATATATGTAATGAATGTTTGACTTTTGACTGACTACTTTATGCTTCAATTTGGTATCGTCAGCCATAGTATGACTACGGGTTTATTTAGATCGAAAAAATCCGATATAAGCTAGATTTAAGGCTCATTTCCATTTATTTTTTAATTAAAGGAGCATTTATTTTTGTCAGTTGGAACATATTTGTTTAATAGATATAATTTTTAATTCCATTAATTTGTTGATTCTAATATGTTTATTTCGATTTTTTTATTCAAGTATCAGTTTCATGCTTTAAAACTTGATGACCTTTTATTTGAACCAATTAACCAAAGTTTATTTTCTCTATTTTTTTAACTAAAAATTGTACAATTCAGCATTAATTTTAATAAAAGGGATGATTATTTGAATTACTGCGTGTTTGTTCTTAATATTCTCAATCCTTGAAAAGTTGCTCTTAGTTCTCCGATTGTTATTGCTTTAATGGAATTTATACACTTGCCAAGTCCAAAGCACTAAAAAAAACGGGTAAAAGAGGAAAAATACTACTGAAATCATTATAAATATTTTAATAGCAGTGAGATCCACCGAACATAACAATGGCAAGACTTAAAATTATATTAATACTGAAACATGCAATTACAAACAAGAGACTTGGGTTACTATTATACCTGTACATGATCAAAGAATCTAACAGTGCAGCGAGCAATAAATTTAAAGTTTTATACCATTCCAGCTTTGGGCATAATGCATGGTTTTCATTTTTTTATATTATTATTTATATGTACGGTCCTAAGTTAACTCCCCTTTGTGTGCCTCTGAAATTTAATTCCAAATAAAAATCTAGCTAGTAAGTCCATTCCTTTGGGAGAAATATCTCTGGAGAAGAGCTTTGATTCTGAGAAATAAAACTACATTGCTTGGACGCATCCTTCTGATCACTTTTCTTTTCTATTGAATTATTACTGTATGCTGCTCTGCATGTTGGGTTATATCTCTGAACTGAAATCAGATGAAAGACCATAAGGGTATTTTCCGAACCAAATATTAAAATTTCAGAATACTTGTATGTAAAAATAAATTTGATAGAATATGTGAAATTGAGAGCAATAAGAATAAAAAGTTGGATTTAAAACCTTGCGGGGGTGAAATCTGCACACCTAATGCATGCACATTAAGATTTAGTGCTTGAACAACTCGGGCTGGAAGGAGAACAGGAGCACAAGCTGCAAAACAAATTTTACTGTAAGGTGTATATACAAATCCAATTCTGCATGTTGAGACATTCGTATATGACATCAATTTGAAGAGGATTAACCAAGCAAAAAGAAGCACGGGACAAAGACTTCGAGAAATATAGATTGGTGTTGAAACAGAGATTTTGGAATTTGTATAAGTAATATATAGTTAGTAATTACCATTGCAGTTATCAAACTCTTCATGGATGCATAGTCTCTTATTATGTCATTTGTATACCAAAAATCTCTAAGCAACAGAAAATATGATTCAAATTATTGAATTTTCTTGCAAGTTCTCAGTTGTTGGGTAGAATTGCAAGTTTTGAGGATTTAATTTTTAATCAAAGACTTGTAGCATTTAATCTATGTGATCAGATAAAAAATTACAATATGCATCACATGGTTACTGAATTCAGTGAATTGTTAACATGAATTTCAATAATTCTCAGACCTGATTTAGAAAAGAACACAATTCATTTTCCATGCAACTATTAATATTTCACTGCAAGGAAACAAAAGTTCTTCTACCTGGCCTCTTGCTTGGTTGGAAGTTTGTGCCTGCTCTTTGGGGTAAGAAGACGCCAGTGCCACATGATCTAGGCCCGGATCCTAAGAAAATAGCTCGCATTCCAGGTCCACCATTGGCAAGTTTTGGCCTTTGATACGAAGATCTTGAGGTAGATTTTGAGTTCTGGAGAGGACATTTCAGCAAAAGAAGAAACTGTTAGGTAATAGCTAGAATTGTAAATAGGCAGTAGTGAAATTATCTAATTGTGAATATATACCGTATCTATATTATTTTAATGTTTAGCCCAATCTCTTTGCTGGATACAATTCTAAATTATTTCTCTCATTCATTTTGTACACACACTCATCAAAACCTCCAAATTCCGTACCAGATTGAGTAAGTGCATCCTGACATATCTAATTTAATGTTATGTTGCATGCTTTAGAACTTTTCTGATTATGCCACTAAAGTTATCTGCTTGTGAAGGTTAGCCTAACCTTTATTTGCAACTTTTTGGTATTTCTTTTTGTTAAAAAGAATGAAATCCAATTAATTTTGGGAAGGAAATTAAAATGCAAAAGACATTCTTTCTGTTTCCAGTAATAGTTTCTGCATATATAATGGACCCCGCCCCAAAAGAAAAGGAGCCAATAATGCTAAATCTCCAAAAATCATATATAGTTGGACAAATGTCTTAACTAGTTTTTATATAACATGTAATCAAGTATCATTAATATATGTAATATAATGATTGACGGGAATCATGGATATTTGGTAGTCCTAAAGTATTTAATAATTAATTGTGAATATGTCATTTGTGGGGAAAGTGGAATATATGTACTCTTACACGTCTTTTAAAATACAGAACTGCATCCTGAGCAGTGTTTAAGCCTACCGAATCTGGCTAATCATATCCTTCCTTCAATTCATGCCCACATTTTCCTAACAAACTTGAATCCCTTACTATCATGTGCATATAATCAATAATCAAGTATTTTAATTTTTTTTCTGTAAATCGAAAAACTTAAATAATGTGATATGGGTTGGAACCATAGATAGGATGATCCGCGACTAATAATTCATGGTCTCTTTGACCTTGATATCCACGAGCAAAGATGGATTGAACGGATGCAATTAAGTAAAGCAGTACCTGTGATTTTGGTTCTCCAGTTGATTTGTGATGACGGTGCTGATGCATTTGCTGACGGTTCCTCATACACACCTGAACATAAATTGAACCAAATATAACACATGACAAATTATAAATGAATTGAAATCCAAAAAGAGAAGCAAGACACATGATCAAATTCAATCTAAAAATAATGCCGACCCAGTTGTTCACTTAGGGGGCACCAAACAAAATAAAGAGAAGGAAAATGGTGAAGAAGAGAAAAGATTACGTACCTTAGTGCCGCATGCTTCGTGGAGAACATGAGAGGGTAACAAGAGCATTCCTTCTTCAAAACCAACTTCACCATCATCATGAATAGCAGCCATGAATGAGAAGCTTATTGCTGTTGATTTGGAAGACAGTTGAGTTGCTTCCTTATTCTGGAACGGTTGAGACAAGACGGGGTTTTAAAGCTCCAACTTCTGACCTGTAACATAACCATATTACTTACGTGGTTTAAGTGAGGATCATAATGCATACGCTCCTCAGACAACGCGTGCTTTCTCCGAGCTCTTGTCTGCTACCACTGAACCTTAAGCGACGATGTCGTTTAGTTGCGCGTACGGTTAACGTGTCTTGTTGGCGATGGGGCCCTTAGAGTAGGAAGATATTGGTCATTTCATATCAACATTGGGACTCATTATACATGGATGTGGGTTGGGTTCGGTAAACCCCTCCATCTCTAGTTGTTGCAGTTACTCCTTCCCTTTTCCCTAACCTTCTTATGTGTTTTTGTGACCTTTCTAAATATTTTAATTTTCATACTCCGCTTCTTATTTTGGTCATCAACCTCAAAAGATGCATGCAGCTAATCATCCCGATTTTACTTATTAAAAAGACTGCAACGCAATCAAGGCTACGTATGTTATCTATGCTTTATGTACGTATGTGGAAGCTCGCAACTAACTTTCTAATCCACCATACCAAATTCTCCAAACATTTTAATTTATTGTATCAAACAATTGTCTAAACTGCATTAATTAATTACTATCTGACATAGTTGCAATCCTCGGCGCCCTGCTATACTCTTCCTTTTCACTTTATATCTATAATATACTAGTTGGAGAAAGTTTGTGTTGAACATGGTAACTGGGAAATGTACATCACCCATTGCTCATTAGAGAAACAATGAAAACAACTGCAACGTACAGAAATGCTAGCAAACTTAATCAACTTCCATGAATTTCTGAAGCTTCCAGATTGGAATGAAAGAAAGATTAGTAACAGGGTGCCCTATAAGTAGATATCAGGCTAACTAAATTGCGACAAGTTGGGCTTCAGCACCCCAATGTACCAAAGAGATAAATGTGACATGATGCCCACATAACATGATAACATCGTGAATAGATCTAAGTATTCAACCGGGTTATCTACTAATTCAACCTCCAAAATCAAGGTTCGGTCAAAATTGATAACAGTGGTATCAAATGCCGAGTTGCGTTACATTCACAAAAATATAAATGAGAGGAATACTACAAAAATTCGCAGCCAAAATTCACAAACATAAGTTGTATTTCAATGGCGCATGAAAAGAACAAAATTCGGTTCCGTTTTCCTTGGCTCGTGCTCTTCAATATAACAAAATGTGTTTTTTCCAACCCCATGTCATGTTATGTTCTATATTTTAAAAATCCATTGGACATAATATAGAACTCACATTAAGCTACGTCCCAATCTCATCAACCAAACGCTACATAAGACTCATTTAATTGGTGCTTAGCTTAGTACAAAATCCTTGAAACATCACTCACACACATTTTACTGGTTAGATCCAATAGTCTATTAGTCTCTTCATCCAACTTAACATTGTCCTTTCTCATCCTCTCTGCGACAACGAGAGGCATTTTACCAGCTGTTGCATAGGTTCTGAGAAATAGATTATATATATTAGTATTCACATGGCCAGCACTCCTAAGGATACCCAACAACTGTTCTGCTCCTTCAATATGAGCTTGCAGCTCAATGATTTTGAATGCTTCTTGTACTAACCTGTGATCGGGACTCCATTTTTTCACACTAGAAATAGCTTTACTAAAATAATGCAGAAATTTTTCTACATCCTTCCTTTTCAAATAACCCCATGTAAATAGCTCCCACGTAGTGTAACAAGGAATGACACCCTTTTGCACTATCTGATTACAAAAATTTTCAGCCATTTCCATCTGGTGTTGGTTAATGTATGAAGCAAGAAGTATGTTAGAAACTCTGACATCATTGGTCCCAGAAACAGACTCCCACTCCCTATAAAGATTCTCAGCTCCAGCAAAGTCTCCAAGCTTCACAAGTGAGGATATCATGCAAATATACTCATTATCATTCATTTTGCAAAAGGAAGTCTTCATTTTCATCCATATTCGATTAACATCATCCTTATTCCCCATGTTTGTATGCAAGCTAAGGAGAGAAGAATATGCCACTCGAGTTTTCCTTGAGGTTCTGTTCTCCATCTCTTTCACGGTAGATCCAGCTTTATCAAGGCTACCATTTTTCATGTACAAATTGGTCAATGTACTGTATGTTACCCAGTCAGGATCTACTTTCGCCTTCTTTAACTCAAGCAGAACTCTTTCAGCAGTTTCAACATCATTCTGGGAGGCACAAGCTGTTAACCATAAATTGAAAGTAACAACATCTGGGGAAGTGTTCATCTTTAGTTCCTGAATAATTTTAGGAACCTTATCTAGCTTCCCGTTTGATATGTAGAGAGATATCATGTGGTTATAAGGAAGAGGGCATCTCAAGAAGTCACATTCCGACATTTTCAACATGAGGGCCTCAGCTTTGTCGACCAAATTATTTTGGACATAGGCATGGAGAAGTGCAGAGCAGGTTTGTTGGCCCCTCATTCGATCAGGAAGATCCTCAAAGAATTTTTCTGCACTATTCAAACCCCGAACTTTAGTTATCAAGTCCAAGTGGACAGCATAGTCACCTGCCACCAGCTTGATATCTTTCTGCAAGGTCATCCATTCACATACCTGCATTTGCGCTTGCACACACAAAAATGTTCAGAACTTCAGATCAACCCTTTTATCTTTGAGGGCTTGTTAAGGGGGTCTATTTAAGAATTTGACCTCTCCCAACAATTATTTTTTTTATACACACCGATCGTGGAACCACTGACACATGTTTAAGGGACAGGGCTATTTACCAACTATTGAACTTCCTTAATCCTATAAATTGAACATATAAGATAAGAATTATTCTTCATTATATACTTTATTTTAATCATGTTACTGGTGGACTAATTATATATTTTATTTTAATCATATTACTAATCAGCGAGAAATTCTCAACAAATGCTAATGGAACATCCTTTTGGCCTAGTTTAGAGCTAATAATCATTAGGAAGTTGGAGGGAAGATGAACCAACCTCGAGTGCGTGTTTGTAGCGCTTGTCCTTGCGAAGCTCTCGAACAATGCGATTGAGCTGGTATTTGCCGGGGGGCGCGTGACCCTCTTCCTTCCATTTGTTGATGGCCACAACGGCACTGCGTTTTGGGTACACGAGGCTCAGAAGCCTCCGCCCCAGCGTGTCTCGACCGCCGCTGGAGCTGGCGGCGCTGGTGCCTGTTCGTGCCGCCGCCTCCGAGGAAAAGTGGCGAACGAAGGCGAGATACGTTCTAATGGAACGAAATAACATGTTCCTTCCACGCAACTGCATCATAGTCCCTGAGTTGAAATGGACTCTTAAACCCTAATTGAAACCCAGTTCCCAATTCTCATGGCTATTTTCATGTGGGTTTGCCGCACCCATACACGGCGTCAAAGCACGCGATGGTGGATCTTATGAAGAACCTGTGCGTGGAGTTGGGGAAGCATGGAATCAGAGTTAATTGTGTTTCATCGAACGCGGTGGTGACACGCCAACTTGGGATGGAGAAGGAGAAGGCTGAAGAAGTGCATTCGGAGGCGGTGAACTTAAGGGGTGCGTGTCAATTTGTGAAATTCTCCAATTACTCCTTTACCGGTGGACTCTGACTTAACTTATTAATGCCACCTGTCAATTTGTGATTTGCTAACATGAGAAGGGCACTAAAACCCCCTCATATAAAGGGGCACAGTAGTATATACCATTGTTTGTAAAAAAAAAATAAGATATTTTCTCCTATGGTACGAGGTTTTGCTTTTTATTTTCTCTGGTCATATCATTTCGTTTAATACCTTAAACCTACAAATGGAGCCAGGAATGTGTCTACGGAATACGAATCCTTCTCTGTCGTCGAGTTGGGTGTGTTTAAATATTAAAAATTACTTTATTAATAGATGTTCACTAAATTATATAAGTGAGTTTAATCTCATATTATAATTTAAAATCTTAAAATATTATATAAATAATTTTTTTATTTATATATTATTTCATGTATTTAATTTTAATCAATGTAAAACTCAAATTATACTTAAACTTCAATATTATTATTTAAGTATAAGTCTCTTTCAATTGGTCACATCTCTTTTCAAATTGAAGTTTTTTCTTTCATAAATATTTAATAATGATTTACTTGCATCATTATTGTATATCAATGGAATACATTATCCACACTTTTGGGAAAAAAATTTAATATAAGGATAATCCCACCCTTTGAATCCTTATGTTAATTTCTTAGTGTCCAATTCTAATTTCATTTCTTAATATTTGTTTAAATTAGTTGTCAATTACTTGGTCGAACCATCGACTTTGATAATATTATTATAAATCTGAAATGCAATAGGGTAAATGAAAGAAGGAATTTATTGATTCACATATAAATTCCATACAATATTTGTTATTTTATATAAAGACAAAGATTAATAAATAAGAATAAAAATTGTACCCTATCTCCTATTTAATAGAAGCGTTCAGAAACAAATTTGGCTATCAACTAGTCCTACAAGCTAGGAAACTAAATAGTTGACCCATTACTAAAATAAACGAACTCAACATTTCCTCCCTTTAACTAAAAACCTTCAAACATTTAATTTACTAAAATTTTGCAACAACGTCACTCTTCAAAAAAAAATTAGGCTAAGCAAACTTTTAAGCCTTTGTAATGTAGCCAACTTCAATGGCTCGGTAAAAATATCAACAACTTGATCTTTACTCTTACAATAAACTAGATCAATAACTCCATTATTTGTGAGGTCCCTCAAAAATAATGATACTTTACATCTATATGTTTGTTCCTTCTATTTAATGTTGTATTCTTCGAAAGTTTGATTGTTGAATTATAGTCACAAAAAATTGATGTTGCTTCTTGCCGGGATGGTTCTACATTATACACAGTGGGGGCACTTACCCCCACTACTATTTAACATATATACAATTTTTTATCTAAAAAAATAATATATTTTAAAAAATAAAAAATCATATTCTAATAAAATACATATATATGTTTAAATTATCATACGTATAAAATATAGATTTGGAAAAGATGTTTATTTATTTGATGTTTGTTAAACTTTTGAAGGAGATTAATTTTCTTATGTAATAAAGAATATTCCTTATAATAAATTAATTTTTTAAAGTTTAATTAATATATATATATATATATCTTAATACTCACATATATAATGTAATATATTAAAAAAATTAATTTTTGATAAAATAAGATTTATAGTATGCATGTTTACTTTTTGTGTTTTCTATTTATTGTATACGTTGATTAAAAAAATCATAATAAAAAATTGAAAGATTTATGTTCCATTTAAAATTATTATTATAAAATATATTTTAAAATAAATTATCATCTAAAAATATATATTAGATATCAAAAACATGTTTATATCATAAATAAATTAAACTTGATTTTTATAAAATTTAACATATTTATTTTTAATAGTGTTAAATTATTATAAAGTAGTTCTTTAGGATTATAGTTCTAGCCAAACATTTAAAAATAATTTATGATAGATAAATAAGTCATACTTATAATAACCTACTAAATTGTGATAAAATTTAATCTAACCTAATTTATTTTCATCTTTAATTAATTGTAATAATAAATATAAAAACTTGTAAAAAATAATCATGATATA